CGGTGTTGGGTTTTTTTTTTTTTTTTTTTTTTTTTTTTTTCTTCCTGAGTCAATTGATTTAATTGCTATGCTGAAGTACTTTCTCTTCATAAAGATTCAGCAAGTCTTTTGGTGTTAAGTTCAGGTTTAGGAATGTGTTAGACCAATTGTGTAAATTGACTGATAGTCCCCAAGCAGGCCTATCAATTATATTTGTGCTCTCTTTATACTGCACAGTGTAAAAGCTGGTCTAAAGACTTTCAGTTTTCCTTTCTGATTGCTGTCATATTTTATTGGTCTAGAAAATATTGTAGGTTGTGGTACTAAGCATGCTGTACTCTTACTGCAAAATAAGCTAATTTTCAGGTTTTTAGCAATTTCTTACCTATTGCTTGGGTTGAAGTGTTTCTGGCCTGCATACCTTTTTCAGTTGTTGAAAAAGGATTCAGACCAAATTGTTTCTCAGGGCATGGATGATGTCCCCATGTCCTGTCTATCTACCCTTTCTGGTTGGGTTCGCATGACTGGACCGTGCCCTGCCCCTCAGGCGTTGCAAGCCATAGCCCACTGTGATAACTGCCAGGGCAGGAAAGGAGTTTGGGACCTGGCATGTCTGGCAAGGATGGGTGGTGGTTGAAGGATGGGAGAAAAGCTTAGCTCACACAAGCCCTGGCATGGGGATTATGCAGTCCTATGTCTAGACTATCCTATCTCAAGTCCTATCTCTAGGACTCTTGCCTCAAGGCAAGAACTTAGTGGCATAGTGAGAAAGTCAAAACCAAGAACGTGATAAAGGCTTGGAGAGCCAGATTAAAGCTGAGTAGCTCTGATTGCTGTGAGACACCTGAGAAGGACATCTGAAAGCTACATGGTGTAGCAGACCACTCAATTCACTTTTCTGAGCCTCTTCCTCCACATGTCTAATTTGAGATTTTGGGGGCTGATTTGCAGAATTACTGAGCTTCACTAATGAACACAATGGACCCCAATTGCTCTACTCCTAAGTGTTCTTTCCATAAAATTGGGATAATTGTCCAGGAGTATTGTAAACACAAATGAGTATTTTTGAAACACACAGAATCTGAGCAGTGACAAGAGGCACTGAAAAACCTCTGAGGACGTTAGTCATTTTGTCTTTGAAGCAGGCTTTGAATGCCTGAGTCGGGAAGTCTGCTCGAGCTGGCCTAAGGCTGCAGAACAAATGATGAGAAAGCGACGCGCTGCTCTTGAGTCATGCACTTGACCACCTTTTGTACGGAGCAGGGCACAGAAAAAATGAGACGTGGTCGGCTGAAGAAAAGACTATGTTATAAAGCATATAGATAAATGGGAACAATGTAGGTTTTCAGGAGCAACCTTCATTTTGACACATTCTGACTTTCACGACTTAATGTTCCTTTTTTGTGTACATACAGGCTTAACTGAAATCAAAGCCTTCAAAAAGAAATTCTTAACTATCTTTAATTATAGCTGGGGCTACCAAAGTTGACTGTTATTAGGAAGAGCTCAGCTGGAGTCAAAACACATGAAAATTTATATAAAATAGGTATAAGCTGGAGCTCAGTTTGCTTCCTTAGGTTATGACAGAAAGCTACTCTGTTCAAAGTGCCTGTATATGGACTAAATAGCATTTACCTATTGCTTAAACCATCAAAGAGGATCTTTAAAAGGACTTAAATGATGTATAAGCCTCTACTAGCACTTTGTCAAGGGTGAATTGCATTTTCTATTTTCTTTCCAAGGATTTAAATGGGTTTTGGATTAGGCCCTGAAGCCATATGTACCCAAAAGAAAATTATGTATATTAGTTTATATTGTGTATCAAGGATTTATTTCTCTGAACTACAGTGCTACGTGTTATTTCAGACTAATTTTCTTATTGTCTTCTTGTTCACAGCACCTAAAATGTTCTCTTTGGCTGTTTAATAAAGGCTTTCTACCCCACACAAACCACAGGCAAATTAACTAGTGCTATTAAGGCTATATGGCTACATCCACCATTTGGCCTCCCTGTTTTGTTTAAGCTTATGACATAACATTAAACCCATATCCTTTGCATAATTTGCAAAGCTTAACCTCAAGATCTGCCTGTTTACTTTTTCAGGAATGAAGTCGTATGCACTTCAAACAGGTTATCCTACGTCTTTATCTTCATTATCGGGCAGTTGGATATTCATGGCAGTTTGAATGAGACAGTGAGGAAATGAACATGAGCTAAAGTGATGGTGGAAGAAGGTTCAGCTGGGGCTACGGCTGAGCTGCCAAAATAGCTATTCTGTGCTCAGATGCAGATGGAGTTATACCACCATTAAAATGTCTTATATGCCAACCAATATAAATTCCTCTGCTGGCATAAGTGGTACAGTTAAACCAATACAACTGTGGATATGTAAACCCTAAATGGCCCAGTCGTAGCAGGAAGAGTCATCCTTTTCCTTTTAGAAAGGATTGTAATAACTTTGTCCAGGACAATAAACATTAAGCTGCTTTCAAGCAAACTCTTACTTCAGTTATCACATAAATGTAAAATAAAGAGAATGTGAATCTCAAGGTACCATCTGTTCAGGTTACCCATGGCTAATCATTTCACATAGTTTACTGACCTCCTGCTCTTTCTTTAACATCTCCATGGCTTCCCGAAACTTTCTTTCCTTCTCCTCTGTTTCAGCAATAGTGGCTTGGTTCTGCTCTTCATACGCCATGGCCACAACAGCCAGAATCAGGTTGACCAGATAAAATGAGCCCAGAAAGATGACCAGCATAAAAAACAGCATGTAGATCTTCCCAGCAGATCTGAGAGTCTGTAAGCATGAAAGTAAAATCACTAACACTTGTTTACAGTGTTTTTTAAAAGACAAAAAAGAAATTTAGTATTTTTTTCTTAAAACTTAGATTTATAATATAATCGAATTCAGCCTTTGTTACTAGCCCAAACAGAATACTTTTGGTGACAAATGACAGCCACATGCAAGGAAATAACCTTCTCACCAATAAATTTTTATACCTTATTCAAAAATTATGTGCCTTGCAGTAGAATTCATTTTTAAAAGAAGAATGCTTTCCTCCTTTACCAAATATCTCTGCTGGTTTTCTTTGAGAATAGATAATCTTATAATCAGCTGCAGTGAAAGCTTCCCCCACAAAGCTCAATCTATTTTTGTCTAGTGCATAGAAACTTTCCAAGTGGGATTCATGTTGTATCCCTTCAGATGTCTACAGCCTAGGTCCTTTATAGTCAGTGAGGAGAAAAAGATACTTTTAGGGTGCAACTCATCAGAATGTTATTTAGACATCTGCCTCAGGATAAGAACCACCAAACCTTGGGTGCCGTTGGCTATATTGCCTGGTTCTCCACCGGATTTATAGGCTTAACTGGAGTTTAGGGTAACAGGCTGAGCTTATATTACAGATATGTCGCATGGTCGATGACTTGATGCTAGTGATAGAAACCACTGTGTGATATTATAAGGTCAAATAACAAAAGGGAGTGATGTTCACCCTTATTTGCCATGACAGTTTCAGCCTTCCAGAGTTGTACATGGAGCTCTGTGCCAAGTAAGCAAATATAGCTGTTTAAAGAATCTCCAATTTAATTGTTTTACATTTTCCTGAAATGAAATTGTGTAACTGCCTGCATGTGAAGGATTTCAATGCGAAGCTGAAATCCTCAGTACCTTTAAAGACGTCTACCTCAGTACCTTCAGAGTAGTATCTGTCATCACTAACTCCCTTGATTTCCTTACAAGTATGCTTCAGTTTTGGCAATTTTGAGATCCACAAGTAAATGTTCAGTGGCTTCACGGACAGAGTATGTAATTCAGTACCAAACTATCACATGCAGTTCTCAGAGTTCGCATACATTTCAGGAAATGTCAGCAGACCGCCTTGCACACATGACTAAGTTGACTGTAAGTTGATGGAGAGTTTCCAGCAGGGAGAACTGAAAGGCACCAGGTAGCCTTGCCATCCGGTGAATTTGTACTCATTGTCATGCCTTGCAAAACCAGATATGCCAAGTACACATGTGCTTTTCTAGTGTTTTTTTTTTTGAGCTGGCCTCAAAAGATTAGTTCATGTTACCCCAGCCATCAAAGAAATAATTAAGTGGTGACATGGTGATCTTAAGAGGTGAACTTCATTTAGATTCAGGTGAATTACCCATTCAAAGTGTCTTTCTCTCAGTACCAATATTCCCCCCTTTCCCCAAACACCCAACCTAATATCTTCTGGTATCATCACTCCTAAGAAACAGAATTAATTGTAACAATTGTCCACAACACACACAGGGCAGTTTGCCTAATAACCAGCAATTCCTTCTTGTTTTTAATTATTGGATATATAACTGCAACAAGATGATGTGTTTATTTTATATTTTTTAACAGTAAAAAACCAATCTCATACCTGTTGATAAAGACGTTCCCAATAATCTTGAGTCATAAGACGGAACAAAGAGAGAAAGGCCCAGCCGAAAGTGTCAAAACTTGTGTAACCATGGTCAGGATTTTCCCCAGCCTTCAGACATATATATCCCTCAGGGCACGTGCTGCAAAACATGAAAGACAATACATGAAATGCATCGTAGATGGCCTCAGCATGGAGAAACTGATTTCCAAGGGAACATGTTGAATGCTCGTGGTTAAGGGCACAGATCCTCAGTGGTAAATTCTTTCACTGGGTGAAAACACAGGAAACAGGTGGATGCTAACTTCACAATACCAAAGATCTTTTCAGTCTTATTTTTCCTTTGAAAAGATCCACTGGAAAATGACAACCATAGGTCGAGCTGCAATGGCAAATCAGTGCCTAGCATTTCAGATGTTTGGAATAGACAAGAATTAGGTGCCTAAGCAGGACTTTAGTCCTTAAATATTATTTATCTTGGCACTTATTCCTAAATAAGAATCATAAACTTGGTGTCTCCTGTTACAGTTGTGGGTAATATTGTGATGATGAACCTGCTTTTCTGATGACATAGTCTGACACTGGCAGGATGACACCAGCGTATGCCATCTGAGCACCTTCCTGATCGCTTACTATGCCGGACCTTGCACTCACCCCTTGCAAGGACTAAATCTTTTATCTAAGAAACCCAGCCCTTTGTTCCACTCACCGCCATAGTCTGTGGTCATGAAATTTTTTCTGTTTCTGCCAGGAAAATATTTTCCTTGTGTGTCTTGCAGATTCACATATTAAATGGCATGCAGATAGCATGAATTTCACTGGCTTTCATTAAACTTTAAGACTTTCTACACATAATTTTCTAGCCCCATATGCCAGAAGAGAAGAAGAATCCTCTCAGTGGTACTATGTAAGTGCTGAATTGCATCATCAAGTGAAACACAAGGTAGAAGAGATCCTGGGTCAAGGAGCCACCCTCTCTCCCAGAACGGTGCAATATGATTAGCCAAAAGACCCCACACCTCTTGCATATCACAAGCCACTTTCCAAAAGTAATATATGTCCCTTCAGAAACTGAAGACATAGAGCAATACGCAAAGGCTTACTGCTGCATGTATCATAGGAAGAGAATATGAGATCAAGGGTGTTGCCAGTGTCCTGAAGCCCTACAATATTTGGGGATTTGTTAGGTTGGAACCATCTAACTATGGAGAAGCAGGTCTCAGCAGAACTTGCAGTAATTCCAGCTCTCTCCATTTTCCTTATGCTTCAGATAGAGATGAACCTGGTATGATTCAGTGCTAATTCTAGGTGACACAACTAGGGATGGTTGGAACGAGAAGGATTGTGAAAGCACTTTGTCAGAGATCAGAGACATTGAGAGAGACCAACTTCCAGACAGTGTTTTGATAGCAGAACAATGCCCTCTGTCCTGGCAGATGGTGAGCTTGATGTTCTGCCTGTCAGATGGAGGAATCAAGGTTTTCTGTACTGCCTTCGAATAGGATGATTATTGTAATATCCAACCATTTTAGACACGTCACTAGTCATGTAGAGTGTGTCCAATGTGTACAGCTTTTAACTTTTTTTTTCTACCAGCAAAAACCCATAGAGTGTTTCAATCACTGCCATTTTTTACCAAAGTAGAATATTGCCACAAATTGAAATGCAAAGCAGTAATATAAAAAAAAAGAAATTGACTCCTGAGAAAGCAGAGCATCTTAGTATGAAAATCAAGGATTTTTTTTTTTTAAATATCAATTTTATACTGATATAAATTAAGTCTCTATGGCACAGGATCGAAACTCTGTATTGCATGTCAAGATGAGAATACATTCTTATAGGTTTTGAAGTTATACAAATCTATAGTGTCAGTCACTATCAGACATTCAACAACACTTTAAGAAGCTTAATTTAATATCATTAGTCAAGCACAAAATTTTAAATAAGTCTGCTTTGAATGCTTAAAAAAGGAGTGATGAAGCATTACAAAATGTGTACATATCCTTGTTTGCTGTAGTCTTCAGAAAAAGCAATAAAAAATGAAAAAGAACAGTTGATGTTTAGTGAATTAAATGTAACACACAAGTGAAAATATAGTAAGTGATTCTGTCACCTTAGGTAGAGCCAAGTTAGTTTATATTAGCTGAGAATTTAGATAATAGTAACTATATCTCACAAACAAAGAAAAAGAGAGACACTTCTAATTTTTTTCCCTGCCAGCCTAGAAATAGATTTTTCTTCTCCTTCTAGATCTTTCCTACTTTGACTACCTACTGTTTCCTGGTAAAAGCCACATTTGAATAAAAATTACAGTAATGTTACTGAGTTAGAAGAGAATAAAATGCAGAAATCTCAGCTTTTTTCCCCTAAAAGATGTAGATGCACACTGCATATTTTTGTAAGACTCGTTCCTTTTGCCACAAGAAAATGACTGCACTCACACATTGTGCTTGGCTGGAAACTGAGTGATCTTGTCCAGAGGTGGACAGACTTCCCTTAGTCTTCCATGAAAGACCAGTCCCAAGTGGCTCCATTGAGTTGGTCTCATCGCTCATATTTTAATGTTATTACTAATAGCTAAAACATCTGAATACAGCTGTGAGGAACTTGGCGATTACTGTAATGGTGAACTTAAGCCTAGGCAGGGCAGTCAGTCAGAAATTAGGTTTCATCTAGAATAAGTTGCCTAAAATCTTGGGAAAAATGGAAATATTGCCATTAAGTTCAATATGTGAGAGAGAGACTTTCCGCTTAATCTCTTCATTTTGAACAAGAGACTCTGAAAGAAAGGAGGTATTAGGAGCATTGCCCTTCGATGTATTTTCATAGGAATCTCTCGGCAGCATGAGATTAGAGGCTACAGAGTCACTCTTAGGTTCGCTGTCAATGTTGCTTCCTGGGGAATCTCTGTTTTGATGCAGAAGAACATTAGAGCAACTGCTCAAAGCACTTTATCACAACTGCTTGGAAAGCCCTAGGACATGGAGATGTAACTCCCCTGGCTGTGAAAGTGAGTAATGGTACCTCAGACAAATATATCCTGTTTATAATACAGTTACTATTTTTTCATGCTTCATCCTGTCTTTATGTGTCTCTTAAACCTTTTCCACTCAGCAGTAGATTGCTGGTGTGAAAAGATCTGTCTGACTCCGCAGTGAGTGTACATGGTTCTCTAATATTATGTTCAGGCATAAGAGCATTCAAACAAGGTGTCTTCAGCATGAAAAGCATGAACTCCAGCTCAAAAATGCTATTAATGTTAGCTCACATCCTTCTTACAGAGACTAGACACTTGAGACAAAATACCCTACTTTTCAACTCCTTATTCTTGCTCACCCTCTTTCGTAGCTGACAGAAGCGATAACCCGTGGGGTATGGGAAAGCGCTAAAAACACTGAGAGGAGAACAAAATGCTGCTTTCCAGAAAAACACTCTACAGAAATTTAGGTGTAAGACTCTCACATGAGAGTATTATTCTGCAACAGACACCATTTCCTCTAAGGATTTTTTTAAGGAGTCTCAAGATTTTGCTGAAGCCTCTTCAATGTATAATATTAAGCCTTCACCTTTGGTTTTTTAGCAAACTCTTTGGCTTCTTTTACCTCGGGGAAGCATTTCACAGGATTACAGTCTCCTCTGATGCACAGGGATGGGCAACAGCAACAAGCTACATAAATATAACATCCTCCACAGGAGCCTCACAGGATGCTGTTCAATTGATCACAATAAAATTAGTGTCATTGATTCAGAAAAGTTAAAAGCATCAGTCTACCTTCCTATCCATCAGGCTGTAATCACCATTGCAAGCTGGCACTGGTACAGGAAATTAAAGAACATAAGAAACAGCTTTGTTTTAAATAACACAGATTGGGAATGCCAGAGAGTTGTAGCTGAGGGCCATAATTACAAAATGTTCTGGCTCAAGAGTTTAATCTAGGCAAGCCAAGTAACCTGCTGATCCAGGCTGCAGTGGCCAATAGGGTTGTGCAATAAAAGATGATTTGTAAAGCAACCATGTGCTGGATTGTAACTTTCAGACCCTGAAAATACAGTGGGGGTTGTCCATGTGTTACCACGAGCTAGCATGAAACAGCTGCTAACGTTAGCGATGACATCTGTAAGGTGAAGGCTGCACTTTCATTTGGTTTAGGTTGCAAAGGCACACTATGGCTTGCTACACCGAATTGCTTATGAAAGAAGCAATAATGGGAGATAAAGAGCATACCACAGACACACCAAAAATTAAAAAAACAAAACCATATTGTGGTAAGGGCCCCTTAGTGTTTCTGCTTAGGTCACAGCTTAAGCCCAAGAATGCAGAAATCAAGCTGAAATGTTTATAGGTGATGTCTTTGACACATGGCTAATTCCAGAGGAATGGCAACCACCTTGGTGAGTACGGTGGGGTTTCAAACCCTGGCAATAAGAGCTGGAAGGACAGACGGTGCCCATGGCCTCCAAGGCTTGTTGATGTGCACGGTACAGTCCTCCTCGACAATCCTCTTCATGCTGAAGTCCTCAGACCACAAAGGAGAGGCTTAGATCTCCTTTAGGTCACAGGTCTGAGTGCCTTTCTCTGCACTTCCCATGTTTTCTCACTTCCCTTGGCTTTGAGAGAGAAGACCAGCAGCCAAACAAGCAGTGCCCACTGTGCAGTGGTTGTGGGGGAACAGATAAAGATCCTCAGACTAACATTTGCTCCGACCTGACAAGATGAAACTACCCATTCTGAAACAGGGCATTTTTTTTTTTTAAATAGGTGTTGTAACGGTGACTGGGCATGTGGGAGAAAGGGGTGGAAAGGCAGCAGCACCTCAGCCACAGGGGGCATTGCTGTCAGCAGGTGCTGGTCTGCCTGAAAGTCACAGGTTGTTCTCCTTCCCCTGCTCTTTCTTGTTTTGTTATATTAAAGACTAATCATCGTTAGAGGGTCTGACTTACAATTCCCCATTAATTACCATCTAAGAGCCAACATCTGACTCGCAGAGGCACACTTCACGTTGGATACGTCTGACTAGGAGTCCCCAGCAGCTTTCACTCCAGGCATCTAAGGGGTCAGAGAGAATTTGAAGGGCATTTTTTAAAGAAAGCGATGCCAATGGTCTGAAAGGAAGGAAGTGCAAGCAAATCCAACCAAATGTC